GGAACACTCTTTGTCTGTGGTGGTATGGTGTCTGACATGGATTGCCCCCTCGATGTTGTCTTGAAATATGAAATCCATAAGAATCGATGGACTGTGATGAATCAGATGATAACAGCTCGATCATTTTTTGCGAGTGGGGTGATTGATGGGATGGTTTATGTGGCAGGAGGGAATAGTGCAGATCTCTATGAGCTTGATGCAGCTGAGGTTTTGGATCCTGTCAGAGGGTGTTGGCACCCCGTTGCAAGCATGGGAACAAATATGGCCTCATATGATGCAGCTGTTCTTGATGGGAAGCTTCTTGTGACTGAAGGCTGGCTTTGGCCTTTCTTTGTTTCACCTCGGGGTCAGGTTTATGACCCAATAAATAATAACTGGGAGAATATGGCAGTTGGACTTAGGGAAGGATGGACTGGCTCAAGTGTTGTTGTTTTTGGGTGTCTGTTTATTGTCTCAGAACATGAGAGGATGAAGCTTAAGGTCTATGATGGGAATTCTGATTCGTGGGATACTGTGGAAGGCCCGCCTTTACCAGAACAAATATGCAAGCCTTTCTCTGTGAATTCCTATGATTCCAAAATCTATGTTGTTGGTCGGGATCTTCATGTAGCGGTGGGTCAGATTTTGAAAGTGAACCTAGAAGAAGGCCATTCTGAAAAGAAATTGAGCTTTGCTGTTCAGTGGCATGTTGAGGATGCTCCTATGGCATTCTCTGATTTGACTCCCTCAAGCTCCCAGGTTCTGTTTGCATAGCTTGTTTGTTTCTGTTGTCACTCTTGTTAAATTATTTGTAATGATATGTAACTGTTGAGATTGTAGAGTTGTAATTGCTCCTTTGAGAAAGGTCTGTTGTTTAAATCTATACAAAGATGAAATTTATGAGTTGACAATATGTGTAGTTACAAATATTTTTTAAGTCTTTAATATACATTATCCATCAAACACATACAATAATCTTTCAAGAAATTTGGTGACGAGCCTTTCTGTGCTGGAAGCTTTCACTTCTTCTTCTTCATTTTTTTTTATTTCTTTATTTTTTTAAACAGATTTGCACGAATGTGTCAATTAAACAATGTATTCTATTAGTATGAAACAGAAATTTTTGCTTTGCATCTGAATAAGATTAAATTTCCTTAGTCATGCCCCCCATAAACTGAATCAATGCTGCATCTAGACAAAAAAAAAATTTAAAAAAAAAAAAAAAAAACTTATCTTTCTTTCATGTACTCGAAGTTAGTATGGAGTATTTGCTTAACCGTGATAGTTTGCTTTCTTAATTTTGAGTAAACAAGTGAATTTGTAACAATTTGCTTGATGGATGCCTGGATGGAACTTGAACTGATTAGAGGCAACATTTTCCCCTGTAATGATTGGATGAATTATAATAGGCCATACAATTCTCATGCCAAACTCTCTACTGGTTTCCTGTAAAATATTATGAAGTGTGTGATAATTAATGAGGTAGCTGTTAGTCATATTGCTATTCTGCTAAAATTTACATTCATGATATTATTGTAGTCTGTACATGTGCCCATTATCCATTACATATTTGTTTAGGAGTTAATTTATTATGAAGTAATTGTCATGGGAAGGAATGGGAAAAAATAATCAACAGAACAGGATAATTCTTTGCTTTTCTATGAGCCAATTCATCGTTCATAAGTTTTGAACATAGCCATTGGCCTTCCAATGCATTCAAAATCTTGTTGGCTAGTCCCTAGTGAAGCTAGCTGGTAGATCAATGGGGACAAACCGTCTTGGAGCTTGAGCAAGCATGGATGGAATAGAAGTCGTGCACATGATTCTTTTCTAACCATTTTGTTATCTGTTTTGGAAACAAAGGTGAGAACATGACTTCCCTCCTTTTTCTTTCATGACTGAAGAAGGCTCAATATTCTTTTATTCCAATAGCTGTAGCTGATGCAGTGCAAATGTGGCTAATGAGTAATGGTATTCAAGTTTCACTGGTATAGGATAGACCGATAGATGTTCAAGTATTATTGCAAGCAATTAACCCACCAAGGGAATTGCATTTGCTTTTAGGCCAAGCATGGTACACGTGCCTTTCTAGCTATGCTATATCTGTCACATATATTGAAATACTTAGCCTTCTATTTTGTTCTTTGTAAACTTTGGACTCTATAATCAAAATCACCATTATCTAGCTCTCATGGTTTGTGGTATGTGTTATCAGTGTTTTGCTATTTTTTGCTGACATCTGCTATCTTGTATAGTCTGAAATCTTTGATTTATATTACTTGATCCCATAAATATTAACTTTGCTGGTGCAAATTCAATGATGTGGTGCACTGGGACTTGCAAAAGGTCCAACTGTCAAAGTGTGTTGTATGTGGATGTATAACTTCTTCTGGTTGTTAGTTGGGGGCTTTATCATATCATAATTGAAAGAAGATGCTGTCTGTCAGCTCATTGACATTCATTGGTAATGTGCCAAGATGAGCTCAGAAGAAAGTTTAGATCCTTGGAAGCTCTAGGTTAGGTGTTAGGAAATTGGGTGAATGAGCCATTATTCCCCTGATATTGTCGTTGTCATTCACTAGGATCCATTTTTCTTGTTAGCTTTTCCTTTCAGTGCTAATATTCTCCTCTAAGACAGTTAAAGAGAGATTAAATCTACTCCATTGCCCTCTCTCTTTCAATTTCATAACTTATCTGATAATAAATCTTTCAGGTCCTACAGTGGGACAGTAGGGTCATTTCATGTTTTTAAAATTGCCTACTAGGACATTGACAATGAATGTGCTCTAAATCATATCAAGTGTGGATTTTTATTGCATGAAATACTCATTTGTGGCATCAACTATTCTCGTTACAGCTTGAGAACCTGCTTCAAAAGCATGTGTGAGTTGTATCCTTTAACAAGAGCAATCATAACTTAATTTCTCAGCTTCTATTGAATATTCTAGTCCAGCTAATGAATACGAGTCCTGAGCCCTGTTTATGTTCTTCACCACCCTTGTCCTCAAAAAAAGATCATTTAGTTGTAATTATAAATGATTATGGTATGCTGCTTTTTTCTTTCTATATTTCTCCATTTCTTCATGGGAAATTGGTTTGCTGTTTTTCTTGTGCTGCAGTCCTCTCTCTACATGTAATAGAAGGGACCTCGATGTTGATGCATAAAAAAATTTAAAAAATATTAAGGTTCTCTGATGATCTTGGTTATGAATTTCTCATTTTTGGTGCTCCTACAATAGCTGGAAGTTTATCTGCTCTGTTTATCTTGTGTAGCCTTTTGACCTCTGTATCTATGAAATTGGCTTTTCAGAGTGTTACTGGTTTATCATTTTTCCTTGAATCAGAAATTTTTTAGCTTTCATGTTATTTCTGCTCTATAAATGGTTAGTCAATGCTCTGGTTAGAAGCCTGATATCTGACAAAAACAAGGTATCTACATAGCTGAGTTCTTCATTATATGGTGAAATTTTCTGGCAGGTTTTAGACTTTTAGTTGCCGAATCTGATGATATAATAGGTCATTGCATGGAAGATATCTTGTACTCCTGATGGAACATGGATGGCAGTACTGGGAAAAAAAAAAAAAAAAAAAAGGGTTTGGTATCAGTTATCAATCCCTTCATTCAAATGTGAGCAATGAACTCACCTTACTACTAGCCGGCCCACTGCAAAGATCGCAAACTGTTTGATGCCTTTGGATACAGAAGTAATCCTGTCCCAGATCAATAGAACAATGACAGCAAGGGTTATATTATGGCAAAAGGAAAAGATTGTTAAGGATGGGAAGCAAGGTTCACATCTGGTGAAATGATCACACTACGAGGCACAGGCATTCAACTAGTGTATTTTGTTTGATATGGGGTGACAAAAGGAGAAGCCTAACTAGTGAAATTTTAGTTGGTTTCATGTCAGGTCCAGGGTTAAATTCCCTCCTTTTGTTTACATTACTGTCCTATTCTACATCTGTACCTGTTTTGTAGTGAGGAATTGAGGACCTTACTCTGTTGGAGCGACATGGACTGTTGAAGCAATTGCTACAGCCTACAGTACGTGACCTCTTTCCTGCTGCTTGTTGACAGTCAATACTTTCAGATGGCATCGGTTATGCACACAAAGTTGGGAACGGATAGAAATGAACGCATTATGCCTCATGCTGCTTGTACTGACAGTCAATACTTTCAGATGGCATCGGTTATGCACACAAAGCTGGGAACGGATAGAAATGAACGCATTATACCTTATGCTGCTTGTACTGACAGTCTATACTTTCAGATGGCATCGGTTACGCACACAAAGTTGTAAGAAGATAGAAATTAATGTATTATGTTAAATCTGACTTTGGCGGTACCTCTCTAAACTTATCTTTGCCATAGACAGCTATTTGGCTAGGAATCTTGGTCGATCTTTTCTAGTGTCATGTTTATTCAGTGGTTCTCTAAGACTTATGGATTTGATACTCCCTCATTTTAGACTGGTGCAATGGTTGTCATACATAAAAATAATGACGGTATGAAGGTAAAACTCAAAACTGGGAACCTAAATCATGACATTGCGGAGAAAGAGTAGCATGGCCATTGTCAAACTATGGAGTACACTATTGGGTTGTTTCACACTTATGCCTATCTTATTCCCTTTTTCAATCATTCAGGAAGTATTTCATAGTAATGATGCTGTAATGTATGTGTTAAGTAACGTGCTGAACATAGTTCAAATTTATTATAGCAATAGTTATAAAAAAAAGCCCTCTGTATGGTATTTTTTTTTTTATCCACTTGTTCTTTCAGCTGCTACTTGCAATTTTTCTCTGATTTAACTTTTAATCTGCAGGAGAATGTAGAGTATGCCTGTGAGAAGTTCAACAAACACGAACGATTGTCTGACTACAATTATATCCAGGATATCAAGCTTCAATTATAGTGTCAAGTTGAAAGTATCTACTCAGTATTATTCAATTAAATGTCTCTCGGGCTGCAATGTTCTGTACAGATTGATAATATGCGTCCCACTTTGGTTTCTGTTGAGTGTTGACATAAACACCAGTTGGTAGTAAAGCAACAGCGGTTACACCCAAATTCCCGTACATTCCAAGGGCCACCTTGATATTACATGATGTCTAATTTTGCCATTTGATCCACTTAATTTATGCTGGTATTTGGCCCATTCTTTTGACACTAAGGTGTACTATATTACTGTGCTCCACTTAACTCACTAGTACTCTGGACAAAAAGTGTTACCAACACTACCATACGCCCAAGGCACACTACAGCAACTACAGACATAAGCATACAAACAGCCCTAAATATACATTACCAAAGCCTCATTAGCCTTATCAAAACCATCAGACACATTATACACAACCACAGTAATGGTTACAATGGGAAATCGAACCCTGACTAATCCCAAAAAGTTCTTTACTCCTTGTGAAGTAACTCAGTTCCTTTAATCTACATAGCATTCCTGAAGATTAGGTTGGCTTCACCTCCAACCGTATTGTGATAGGTTGAACCCACCTGTGACAATGGAGTCATTAATTAAGTGTACTAAAATATGCAATGACAAGTTCAAATTCAATGACAACTCTTCTGCATCTGAACTAAGATTGTGCTATGGAATTTGGCAGTTGCTATAGGTCAGGAAAGAAGGTTTAGTGAAAGCCTAAAGGTTGTGATTCAAATTCACAATAAAAAAATATTATCCATACTAAACAGCTGCCATATGGACATACACTGACACAGATACTAAAGAAGGCATTGAGAAGGATTACCTGTCTACTATCCATGAACAGATTGGGGATAAGCTTGCCAATGAGTGGCTGGTCTACCATAGCCATATCAGTTGATGGCTGCAAGTTTGCGGAAACCTGCATTAGACAAAAAATGGAGTCAACTTGTAAGCAGATATAAACTCTTTTCAGCCTAATTTGGCTGCACTGCTGTTTTAGTATATGCTCTTTTTGGCTTCTCAAAGCAAGAAATGAAACAAACCTCACAAGTGTTATTTGCTTTCTTCCAAGCTACTGGATTCTTGACATGTTGTGTACTACTTGATGAAAGATCCTGGGTATAGCTCTCTTGTTCAGTAGGGGGTGACACCTCCTTCCGTTTGGTGCAACTTTCAAAACCTTTACTTCCAGAAGCTGCATTTTTAATGTTTGAAAACCTATTATTTCCCACACATGATGGAGTTCGGGTCAGTGAATCACCATTTTGGGTCCTTCCTGCCATGACATTGATCTCATCTAAACGGATGTCCATCAATTGGATCAACTCCATAGCAATATTTAGGTTGTTCTCAGATGCAGATGCTTTTAGACAAATGGATTCAAAGGCGGCCATCATTCTATCATACCTTTGCACCTCTTTGGTTTTACAAGGATTGTGATAAGCAACTTTTACTTGAGTATGCCTCCTTTGTAGTCCTTTCTCCATCACCTCAAAATGTACATCTCAGGGACCTCAGTTATATCATAGATGTCAAAAACCTTAATGAGATGCCTACACATTATTCCATGGCATTCAAAGAGTTTGCAGTCACACCAAGCTTTATTACATTCGAGATTGAACACAACCTTGTAAGTACACCGCTTCTTGGTAGGAATTTCCTTCCTCGTGGACAGGCATAGCACCCAAACTCTATCTTCTAGTGTGTACTCCACAACATGGTCTGATACAACCTTCTTTTCTACACCATTAATATATAACACCCTTGTACACTCTAATTGGACTTCCTTGAACTTTGCATCTGTGTACAATTTTTGGAACACACCTTCAACAGGAAACTTAGTAATAATTTGCCTTACATAGCGACTGGTGTTTGCATCATCTTCACTTTCATCATTCACCCTTGATTCCATAACTTCACAATATTGTGGTGCAAACTCAAACAATCGGGTGTGCTTTTGCAAGTACCCCATCAAAGAAACTGTTAACACTTCCAATGCGTTGAGTTATTTTCATGCCAGCCCAAAAAAATTGTTTCATATAGGCTGGTACCCACATTTCCCTCTCTTTAAACAATCCTGCATACAAGACATGAACGTGTAGATAGTTTCATATGAAGTTCAGGAAGAAGATTAATTTAATCTGCAACTTAGAAAAAAGTATTGAATTAAGAAGTGCAATGCGAAGAACAAACAAATACATCAAGTGGTAATCGGAGGAGGTGCAAAGAGTGATGGAGCTTATTGACAAGATCATAATGGTGGTGATAATGTTGGTGGATTACAAGACTGTTATGTACCAAGGATAAAAAGCTGCTGGAGAAATTATACAAATATGTAGACACGGTATTGTTTCTAAGTGTATAGCTTGCACAGCACTAATTTTGGGCTTTTAAGTAGGTTTAGGGAGAGCTGCAAGATGAGGACATTAAATAGAATTAGAGATAAAATTCACCCTTTTCTTCCTCTGAAATTCAATCAATTTAAAGAAAGCAACGTATCAAGTAACCTGGTACAACTATAAATATATGTATATTAAACCAAATCAACCCATAACAACTTGAAAATTCATTCAAAAATTCAAAAGCACCCTCACAGTCATTCCTATGCATACAGATCCTTTTCCCAAAGTAAACCAGGGATCTATAAAGTCTTCTTCCTACCCCAGTTCCTCTAAGATATGGACATGAAAACAGGTCACCTGTCAAAGCCTCAGATAGTCAGATTGGAAGAGATAGAAAAAAGAGTATCTTCAGTGCACTCAAATGCTGTCCCAAGTATTGATTCATAACTATCCCAAAGAATTGGGGGTAGGCCTAATTATAGCCATTGTTGAAAACTTGTAATGGATGTTGAAGGCCAGCTAAGTCAAAAAGAAATACTCCGTATAAAGTTGCAGCAAAAGAAGAGTTACTAATTGGAATATTTCTCTGGATCAATACAAAACTTACTACATTTCAATGGATTGCATTACAATACTTATTTCTTGGATCTCCTAATCTTTTTGTCTTGGTGGTAATACCGTAATATATAGTTTCACATTCTAGTGGCGTGTAATTATTGGCTACATTTTTTTTGTCAGCTTCAATCGACAATTGGTGTTTAACAGTGTTTACGAAGCAACTTGAATCATCATCTTTTGGAAAGATGAATGCTAGTCCTGATAAAATATCATTTGGAAAGCTGAAAGCAAGAGAGTTACTTAAGAGCTCGTCTGCTGGAGTCATTATTTCAGGCATCTTAGCCCAGCTAGTAAATGAACATAAATCATTTAGTACTGACATAGCAGCATTTATAGTTTTGGTTGATGATGAAACGTAAGTAGTAACTTTGAAACTTTTAACATTTATTATCAAGGCATAGCAGCATTCACATGATTGGAATTCTAGTTATGTTTCTCCTGCTTAAAATTTTAATAACTTAAGCTAATTGCAGGAATACAGGCATCCTTCTAAAATTTTCATTACTCATTAGTATATGAGCCAAGTGAGTTCACAGACCACTTCTAAATCTGCATCATAAATAAATCATCCAGCACAGAAACAGCTGCATCTCCATAACCAGATCAGCTCACATATTGATTTTGGAAGATGACACAAAAACTTTGTTTTTTATCCGACCTACTGTTGAGTTTCAGATTTATTTTATACTATGAAAATTCAGGAAACAAAATGCCAAAATGGGAATATGCATACAAGTTGCTGAAAACATGATAATGTGTTATTACATACCAGCAAGCCAATCATTGCTTTCGAGTCCAAAATCCTTCACTGCAGAACTCCAACTACCCTCAAATTCTTCAGGCGTCAAACTATCATATATAGCATTATGTAAAACCTCCTTAAAATCTTTATACCTTATATAAGTTCCTAGATTCTCAGTGAACCTCTTGAGTATGTGCCACAAACACCAACGATGTTGAGATTGTGGCATTACCACTGAGAGGGCCTTCCTCATTGCAACATCTTGGTCAGTCAAGATACCATTAGGGGCTTTCCCACCCATACATAATAACCATGTACTGAATAACCACTGAAGCGTCTCCACATTTCCATTAGATATCAATGCACAACCAAGCAATATAGATTGTCCATGATGATTAACACCGATGAAAGTCACAAATGGCAACTCGTACTCATTGGTGAGATATGTTGAATCAAACCAGACAACATCGCCAAACTCCTCATAAGCTACCCTACTTCGTGCATCAACCCACATAACATCCTTCAACACACCAAATTGATCAAGCCTATACATATGAAAAAAAATTCTGGTTATCCGCAGCCATTATACTGAAAAATTTCAACATGGCATTTGCATCACCATCCCTTAACTTCAATCTCCTCTCTTGATCGATGACATTACAAAAATCCATATGCGTACTTGCCATGTTCTCAAGCCCATTTATACCCAAGCTACTATGAATTTGGGGTATGTTCACCCCCAAAGCATGGTCAATCAAAGGCTTATTTTCCACATGTTTTGGCAATTCATCATCTTGGCAGGGTTATAGACTGTGGTTATGCTCAACCACAGCCTTCTTAATTTCCCACTCCCCCTCCTTACTCACAGTAGCATACATCATAGCCGGGCAGTCACATTTCTTCGACTTCCTAGAGGCGAAGTGAATAGCATCCTCCCCTACGAGGATTCTTTTACCATTAACCCTCCGCCTACGATCAACCTTACCATTACACTCACACTTCCAACTATAATTCCTCCTCTCTCTAGTCGTCTGTCCTCCTTGTTGCTTGTAAGCACCGGAGGAACCAACAACACGAAACCCTTCCTGCCTCCCGTATCGTTTATAGTACACATCAACATCTTTCCAAGTGGGAAATACCATGCCAACTGATGGCGGAGGAACTACACTACTAAACCCATTATTCCTACAATCAGTTTCATCATCTACGACAGTAGTCTGACCCTCACACGCCTCGGCCTCCGCCTCCGCCTCCGCTTCCGCCTCCTCCTCGGATTCCGCCACCGCTACGGCATCCTCCTCATTCTCACCTTCCTCATAAAACAAATTCTACATAGAAATAGAATTCATCCCATTACAAAATTTTCCATTTTAATAACTTAATTTAGAAATTCACTTCATAAAAAAGTATTGACTACCAAATATCGATTTACTACATAAAAACAAGTATTGATTAACAAATATTGATACACTACATAAAAGTATTGAGTATTGTATAGAAAACTAGAATCAAAATGAAAGATTAGATACCTCAAAATGATGGAAATTCCCAGTTTGATTAGAACTTTCTTCCATTAAGTTGTTTGTTTATGCTTTACCCAATTGCGGGAATTAATTGAATGTTCACGGGAAGTGGGGTGGCGAGCTGCGGAGCAGGTGATGTCGTGATTTGTGAAGGTGGTGGTGGGGAGTTTTGTGGTGGTAGGGATTGTTTCAAGTGAAAAGAACCATTTTTTTGTTTGGCTATGCCCCAAACCAAAACAGAGAAACTTACAAAAAAAAAAAAAAAAAAAAAAAACACCAAAGGCCAAATAAAGAAAAATAACGAGAAAATATAAGTTTTCTTCATGATAAACATGAATTATCTAGTAAAAATAGTAAATTTGTAAAGAGGTGAACTTTGGCTTGCCTTACTATATTGTCTATATATAATACACGGCTCTCAAGAATCTTAATTCTAGATAAACTAGGAAAGTTAGAAAATAGGGAACAATGAATATCCCATCAAAACAATATTCTCCTAAATATATGATATTCCCAAAAGATTTCCTAAATATATCTTAATACTCCCCTCAACTTGGAGCATGAGATTCGAAAATGCCCAACTTGGAAAGAAAGTCAAACTGAGACTTCCAGAGAGCTTTTGTGAATATATCCGCCAATTGATCCGAAGTAGACACATGTGATGGGGAAATCAAGCCTTCATTGATTACATCACGAACAAAGTGACAATCAACTTCTATGTGTTTCGTACGCTCATGAAACACAGGGTTCCTTGCAATATGTTGCAATATGCAATGCTGATTCATTATCACAAAACAATTTAATTGCTTTAGGATGTTGAACACCCAAACTTAACAACAAACCCTTTAGCCACTTTAATTCACAAGTGAGTGCTGACATGGACCTGTACTCCGCCTCTGAAGAAGATTTAGAGATTGTAGGTTGCTTTTTAGTTTTCCAAAGAAATCGGAGATTTGCTTAGGAACACTAGTCATCCTGTCAACGAGCGGCAAGTCAGGGGGCACGCTGCCCAATCTGAGTCACACCATCCCTCTAGTGTGAGCTCACTATATGAACGCAACAAAATCCCTTGTCTGGGAGATCCTTTTAGATAACAAACTACCCTCAAAGCAGCTTCCCAATGTTCAATGCGAGGCTCTTGCATGAACTGTGATAGAATGTGAACCGAGTAAGCGAGGTTTGGTCGGGTAACCGTAAGGTATATAAGCCGTCCCACAAGACGGCGATATGCTTCGGGATTTTGTAACAATTCACCACTAGCATGTGCAAGCTTATGATTTTGTTCCATGGGAAACCCACTAGGCTTTGCTCCCAATAGACCTGTTTCAGAAATTATATCCAAAGTATACTTTCATTGACACAAAAATAATCCAGACGAACTACGAGCCACCTCAATTCCCAAAAAATATTTTAGAGGGCCAAGATCTTTCATTTTAAAACAATCACTGAGATAGGCCTTGAAAGCCTTTAGTGCAGCGGAATTATTCCCAAAAATAATCAGATCATCCACATAAACTAAGACATTAATCTGAGTTTTACCATTAGTGTATGTGAACAAAGAATAATCCGAATAGGCTTGGAGAAAACCATACCGTTTCAAGGCTGACGCCAACTTTGAAAACCAACACCTAGGAGCTTGTTTCAAGTCATACAGTGATTTGCGCAACCTACATACCAAAGAAGGATCTGAATTTTCAAATCCGGGGGGCAATTTCATGTACACCTCTTCATTTAGATCACCATGCAAAAAAGCATTCTGAACATCCATTTGATGTAACTCCCAATTCTTGTAAGCTGCTATCGCAAGAACGACACGTACAATAGTCATCTTGGCCACCGGAGCAAAAGTTTCATCATAGTCAATTCCTGCTTGCTGATTATTGCCGAACACCACTAATCGAGATTTTAGGCGCTTAATATCACCATTGGACAAATATTTGGTTTTATAGACCCATTGACTGCCAAGAGCACGTTTCCTAGGAGGAAGATGCTCCAAGGTCCATGTACCATTGTTCTCTAGAGCACGGATTTCCTCTTTCATAGATTTGCGCCATCCATCACATTTCATTGCCTCTTTGAAAGATTTTGGGTCATTACCCTTGATAATAGCTACAAGGAATTTTCGATACTTGACTGAAAAATTGTCACAATTAATGTAATGTGTTAAAGGATAGGGAGTACCTGAGGAGTGATCAGAAGGAGAAGAGAGTGGACTATTAGCAATAACCGTATGTTTCACAAAATCTCGATGCAAGACATTTGGAAATTTTAGTCGAAATCTGCATCCCAATGCTTGATCATTTGAATTAGCTTCATTGTCTTGGACATGTGTACCAGTCATGGGCCCACGTGAGGAAGCCCCATCAGCAGCGTGATCAAATTGCGGGGAGATGGGGGAAGCATTGGGTGGCCCATCTGGCGCTGGATAACCAACGGGCTCACCAGAAGACAATGTGGGCTGGTCTGCCGAAGGCCCATCGGGCACTGGTGAGGCCTGGTCTGCCGCTGGGTCTTGGGTTAGGCTGAATGTGCACCATTTGGATCGTTAACATCAACTGCTTCCTCATAAATTAATGCTGAAAAATCTTCATGAATATTATGATCATCATACTCATTATTTGAAAAATTTACGACCTCCGAACTCCCAAACGGAAATACTTCTTCAATAAATTTCACATCTCGTGAAACAAAAAATTCTTTTGTAGTTAAGTCAAACACTCTCTATCCCTTTTTACCAAACGGATATCTCATGAAAATACACTTGCGACTCCGACTAGCAAACTTATCTCCCTTGGTTTTCTAATTATGAGCAAAGCATAGGCACCCAAAGATTCGAATAAAGTCAAATAATGGGGGTTTGTCAAAAAGGATTTCAAAAGGTGTTTTGTTCCCCAAAAGAGGAGTTGGGGTATGGTTAATTAAATGAGCGACAATGAGAATACACTCTCCCCAAAATAAATAGGTAGTTTTGCTTGAAATCTCAAAGCATGACTAACATTCAATATATGTTTATGTTTCCTCTCTACACACCCATTTTGTTGTGGAGTTCCTACACATGATGTCTGAAACAAAATTCCAGTGGCTCTAAAGTAGTCAAGTAAACAATTAAACTCTGTCCCATTATCACTTTGTACTACTTTAATTATTTGAGAAAATTGTCGATCAACCATAGCAACAAAAGCCATAAATATTTGAAAGACCTCTAATTTATCAACCAACAAATAAACCCAAACTGCTCTTGAATAATCATCCACAATTGTCAAAAAATAAAGAGCTCCACACAACGAAACATGTCGATGTGGACCCCACAAATCACAATGAATTTTCTCAAATATTCGAGATGTTTTATTATCACTTATAGGAAATTTGTCTCTAGGATGCTTAGCATGCATACATACTTCACAACCTGTATCTAAATAATCTTTGCTACCAATAACATTAGAAATTAGCTAGACTACTTTTTCCAAAGGATGCCCAAGTCGACGATGCCACAACTCCAACTTTGATGTAGCTTCAACGTTTGACACTTTCGGTTTGCTAAAATAGTACAGTCCATCTCTTCTAGTTCCCATTCCAATCGGTTCCTTCGCTTGGTCCTGTATAGCACAAACATAAGAATCAAATTGGACAATAGTGTGTAAATCATCATTAAGTTGAGAAACCGAAATAAGTTGCAACTCAAATTCGGAATATAAAGAACTCCAATGAGAGTAATTTTATCCGATAAACAAACGGATCCTACCAAAGTAGCTATTACTTTTGCACCATTCGGTAACCCAACAGGGCATTCAATATTTTTCGTATCAACTAGCCAAGAACTATCTCCAGTGACATGATGAGTCGCGCCGATATCAATAATCCAAGATGAAACATCAAACTTACCGGTCAATCTATTTTCCGGAATTTGAGCATTACCAGCAATCCCCGCAATAGCCTTCCACTGTTCAGGAGTAAATAATTGCCCCAAAGCCGAAACAATAGAAGAATTAGATGCGGAAGACGGACTGCCACTAGCGGCTGCATTGGCATGAGGCTGGTCGCGACCCTGCTCCTGTCGTCTGCTCTCTGGTCTGCCCACAAGCTCATAACAGTGGGTCTTGGGGTGGCCTTTCTTTTTGCAGTAGCCGCACACCGTATCTGCCAACAACTAGAGGCTTCGTGACCCGACTTGCGACACTTAGTGCATAGAGGTTTGTCATAACCCCGACCTCTGCCACGCGACATATCTGCCGGATCAGTCCCTGCTCGCACAACAAACCCAACAACCTCGGTTGGTGTGGTTTCAACTTCCTTCTTTGACAATCGAACACGTTCCTCTTGGGTTACCAACTGGTAGACTCTGTCAAGGCTCGAAAGAGGATCTTGTGATAAAATCTGAGTGCGTAGGGAAGAATAAAAGTCGGGATATAATCCCATTAAATAATCATGCAACTTTGCTTGTGCTCTCCGCTCTTCGTGTAAACGACCACAAGGACAATAAGAAATAAAGCAGAAAATTAATGGCTCATGATGATCCAACTCTTGCCATAGGGAGTGTAATTGACCACAGTAAACGGAAATCGACATTGCCTTTGTTTGTTCACACTTGGCTATCGAAGACCTTAATTGTTGAATTCGAGGGCCATTAGTTTGTGCGAATCTCTGTTTCAAGTGTTCCTAAAACGGTTTTGCTTCCCTAAACTTCGACAAAGAGGACCGTATTTCGGGATCAATTGTATTTGATATCCATGATATTAGCATAGCATTAATGGCTGTCCAATTGGACTTGGTGCATGGTGGTGATGGAGCAAGAATGGTTCCATCCAAGAAATCAAATTTGCGCCAGGCTTCGAGAGCAGTTTGAATGTCTGCCGCCCAGCTATCGTAGTTATCAGATTTAACTGCGTCGGTGTGATGAAGTCCCTCGATTGGTCTTGGGATTTGAGATAATAAGGGGAATTCGGTTTGATTTCGGTCGGTGGTGGGGGTGGCGGTGGTGGAGTATCATCACCTGCCATTGATTATTATTTGTGAAAACCTTTGACCTAATACCATGTAAAGAGGTGAACTTTGGCTTGCCTTTTTATTAACACATACAATCAATATATAATACACGCTTCTCAAGAATCCTAATTATAGATAAACTAGGAAAGCTAGAAAATAGGAAACAATGAAAGATATCCTATCAAAACAATATTCTCCAAAATATATGATATTCCCAAAAGATTTCCTAAATATATCTTAATATGTTGAGCCCATGAGAAAACCCACATATGAGTGAAAGTGTTGTCCCACATTAAAAGAGTATAAAAGTAAAGAGGAATATTGGGATGTGTAACCCACATTGAAGAAAAGATAAAGTCGTGTCCACTTTATAAGGCTAAGGGGATACTCCTCTCATTGCCATATGGTTTTGAGGTGGAACCCCACTTGGTCGTATAAAGTGGACAATTGTGATGGGTGCGGCCCAGGCCCATTTATCATGGTATCAAAGCCCATGTTAGGTTGTGTTGTGATCTGGGCCAGTATTATGGACAACTCACATGTGAGGGAGAATGTTGAGCCCATGATAAAACTCACATGCGAGTGAAAGTGTTGTCCCACATTAAAAGAGTATAAAAGTGAAGAGGAATATTGGGATGTGTATCTCATATTGAAGAAAAGATAAAGTCGTGTCCACTTTATAAAGCTAAGGGGCTACTCCCCTCATTGCCATATGGTTTTGAGGTGGAAACTCCTTGGTCGTATAAAGTGGACACTTGTGACGGGTGCGACCCAGGCCTGTTTACATTAAACAAGTATGGGCAGTATGGTAATTTCAAGGATTTATGTTTTAAAGCCAGAAACTTATGTAGCCTCAATGTGCCAATATCGATCGTTAATGGAGGATGGAGTAATGACAAGCACAAATCAATTTTAATGGTTGCTTCAATGGAGGATAGGTTATCCTTACCTTTTGGGATAGATCATGCCCTTAATTTCACCCTTTTCATAGGATTTTCGTTTAATTTGGCGGCGAATCCGTCGGATATGACAGTGTTGGTGGAAGGGGGTGGAGATCGCGAAAGGAAGAAGAAAATGGAGGAAGAAGGAAAAATCAGCTTCAATAGAGGAAGAAGGAGAGGTCATCTATGGAGGATGAAGCTTGAACCGGGTTAATGTCTATTAGTTGGATAAATTGAAGAAAAGGGACGACTGGAAGGCACTAAACAACTCATGTTAATCATAAAGATAAATTGGTGTGTCCTAAAATAAACTACTCGTAGTAGACATTGACCTTCTCCAGCGGTCACACCATCCCATTAAAGTCTTCCAATAAAATAATATGAAATATGAAAATCCTTAAGGATTACCTTGAATAACACAAACTTATAACCTAACTTAATCCCATGCTTAGCTAACCAATATGCAACTCAATTAGCTTTCCTATAACAATGGTTAATTGTAATATTCTATTATTGATGAGTAATAAGAGCATTACATTTTTCAGGTGATATGAATATACGAATAGCTGGTTGGAGACGTCTCAACCCACATATGAACAACTTCAGAGTCCACTTTGAGTTGGACTCTCTTAAGACCATCATCCCAAGCAACTAGCAATTCACCCAACACTCTTAATACAGGTACAACTCCCACAATTCAAAGATAATGATTTGAATTCGCCACGATAACCCCTTCTCTTCTTAGTTTCCCTTAGCCGCACTATTTTAAATAAACCCCACAATCTCTTGAAAACGCCGCCTGGTATAAGCTTCTTCTCACTGCACTTTCATACTATTGACCCGTTGTTTTTCACACACCATTGCTCGCTTAATCACCCCAACTTTTGCAAACATAGAAGCTCATTTGGTCTATAGAAGCATTTGGATTGCATTGTATCCAATATAACGATTTTTGTTCGTTGTATTTTCTTCCTATTTGGGACTTGCCTCTATATAAAAAATAGTAACAATTAGGGATATACGATAAATAAACATAAATAATTAAGGAAGTATGGATGTCATAAAAAAAAGGAAGTATGATTTTTAAGTGTTGTTTTGATAACAATTTTGCACGAGTCCATATTATTCCAAGTTTTCAACCTTAAATAATTAATAGCTTTATTACACACACACACAAAAAATAAATAATAATATATATATATATATTTATTTATTTATTTTTTGAGTTTGCCCTATCCGGTTCACCGAAACTTAGATCCGACTACATCTGAATTCGATCCGGGGAGGTCTCGATATAAAGACATCAAGCTACTTATCACTTAAGCCAACTCTTATTTAATTAGGTTCAAGTTTTGCCACCTTAGTTAAGTCTCGACAAAGCCAAGTATAGGTATCGGCTCATTGACATCCCTATTTGGTGTTGGTTGTTCAAAGCTAATACAATTTCCCCTCAAAAAATAAGTACTTCAAATTCTCAAGCACCTGGGGTTCGAATCACAGTATAGACTTACCAGTTTGCACCCCTTCCCTCCCTTCCTTGCCAGACAGCCTTCTGGAGAATTCCTGCTTTCAGGTGATGATCTTCAATCTCTTCTCTTTCATCGATTTTCTGCTTCAATTTCTGATTTTATTGTTTGTTTCAAAAAAATACGATTGTTTATCTTAATTTTTCAAATTTCTGTGCATAATCAATTGAAAAACTTGGAATTCAAAACCTAAAATCTTCGTAATTCACTTCTCTCTCCTTTTTTATTCCTCTTTTTTGTGATTTTAGTCAGCATTCGTACGCAAAAACCCTAATTTGCGATTTTCACTCTCCTCTGAAGTTTTGTAGATATGGCGGCATCATCAAGTAGTGGACTAACCTTCAAGCTTCATCCTCTTGTAATTCTCAACATCTCCGATCATTTCACCCGAGTCAAGTCTCAATTGCAGCTCCCAACTCACTCCAATGGCGGCGAACCGTCGCCTCCGCCAAGGGTTTATGGTTGTGTGATTGGTGTTCAGAAGGGAAGAACTGTTGAGATCTTCAATAGTTTTGAGCTTTTATATGATTCCGCCACTCATTCGCTTGACCGCGGTTTCCTCGAAAAGAAGCAGGAACTTTGTAAGACCTTTTATGCTGGATTATTTATTGTGTTGGTATTTTGAATGATCCAATTGATTTTTGGGGGTTTGTCTTGTGTTTTTTGGACAGATAAGAAGGTTTTCCCAAATTTTTATATATTGGGGTGGTATTCAACTGGGATTGATGCTCAAGAATCTGATATGCATATACATAAAGCTGTGAGTTTTTTTGCTTGTCCCCATTTAATTTTGAGCTCTTTGATTGAATAATAATGTGCATAAAGATGGTTATTGAGTAAATTGATGAAGTCAATTGGGTTTCTCTTGCTTTATTTATTTACTTTACATATCATAGTTTTTGGTTGTTAGATAAGAGTGTAATCTAGGCTGTGTTCGGTTTGAAGGAAGACAATTGAATTATAATTATTGTCTATGGAAATCATATTTCAAAAGAAATCAGCTTTCAAACTTCATGTTCTAGTATTTGGCCTAATTTTTTATAGCCGAGAATTTACTGATGATGTTGGAGTTTCGAAGAGGGAAAAGGAGGTCATTTTGAGCTTGAATAGTAGCACTCATCATGCCATAGTTTGAGTTTGTTGGTGTGCTTGACCTGCTTATTAACTCCTAGCAATTATAGTTTTGAGTAGTTTTCATATAGCCATCATTGAAGCTGCCTTTCTGTAAACTAATGTGGTCTGATGGTGTTCAATTAGTCACTCTCTCTGTCCTTAAATGTATGAACATAAAAAAAAAAAAAGAATCAATGTGTTCTATGTCATTTCTCCAATGTCCTATACCTTTTACATGACCTCTATCTAGAGTGCACTAGAGGGGTCAAATGTATGCACTAGTGTCTCAGTTGAATAGAGACTTTGATTCAGAAGTCAATTAAATGGCCATCAATTTTAGAGCTACGAAGACGTTAAGGGCAGATTGTGACATACTTCATATTTTCTTTCTCTCTCTTTGCGCCATATTCCTTACCTCCATAGTACACCATTGTGGGGTTATTTTTGTTGTTTGGGTTTATAATATGTTTCGTTCAAGAAGCATGCATCTGTGAGGCATATTTGATACTTCTTTCTTCACTGGTGACAAATTCTGATTGTGCTTCTGCCGTCCTGGTACAGCTGATGGATATCAACGAAAGTCCTGTTTATGTCCTACTCCACCCTTCCATCAACCATGCACAAAAGGATCTTCCAGTGACCATCTTTGAAAGCGGTATGTTTGATTTCTCCCAGCCATTTCCTTCTTCACTTGTGGCATGTTGATGTGAACTTGACTTTCTAGTACCCCTTTTCTTTTTGTTCCAACTCTGTATCTGCAAAGTTGGCTTATGAATGTATCATCATTATTTCTTGAACCTCTTAGCTTGGTTCCAAATGGTTTGTCAATGCTCTGCTTATTTGCTTGATATCTGTTGCAAAGTAGAATTCTTCATTTGTGTGAGAAACTCTGGAGGCTTTTTTTGTTGCTGATGAAATGATTGACGTTTGCACTTAGATTGTGAAGTTAAGGTTAGTATTTGTTGGCTCAATGTGTGAGATTATTGTGACGGTTCTCTGTCCCATTCTGCAAGACATGGAATGTGTCTGTGTAGAGATGTATATTTTGTCCTCAACTAAAGAGATGTATATTTTGTACTCTCTTATAAGTTCTCTAGTGATGTTCTACTTCTTAGTAAATGATCTCTTATTAATTTTAACCAGTTAGGTTGGTCTATCTGCAAGAGCTAAGTGGAGGTGATTGGTGTTAATAATTATCTGGCTTCCAAATTGGTTTTAACCTGACTTTGTTTATTACCTGTCCCTTGAATTAGATTGTAGGATTAAGAAATCGTGAATTTTTTCTCTTCCAGGTTGCAGCTTATGACAAAGTGATGCCTTGTTTCTTTTCCTCCATGTCATTCTAATTGTTGTGATTGTTGAATTTCAGAGCTGCATGTTATTGATGGTCTTCCACAGTTGATCTTTGTTCGTTCAAGCTACACTATCGAGGTATGCTATATCCCATAATCATCCTTGCTTAGTGCTTACTTCTCCTTCTGGCATCTCTGCAAAGACTGCATAGTTTTTGCTGCTTGATGAGTTGCTCTTTGATTTCCTTGAAGACAGTAGAAGCGGAAAGGATCTCAGTTGACCATGTTGCACATTTAAAACCAGCTGATGGTGGATCTGCCGCTACCCAATGTGAGCTCATCTACCTAGTTTCACTTCTGATGATATAAGATAAAACAAAATTGTATAGTTCTAATTTCTGCTCCTCTCAAATTGCTTTCTGTATGCAGTGGCTGCTCATTTGACTGGTATTCACAGTGCCATAAAGATGCTGAATAGCCGAGTTAAAGTGTTGCTACAGTATCTTTCTTCTATGCAGAAAGGCAAGTTATTTTTTCATTCATTAAGTTTGGGCTGCTGGACGCGGTTACAGCTGGTTATTTTAGTGATCTAGGATGAAGCATGTCTATGTTTTGTTTTTAGAATTTGATACTGTCTGATAATTTAACAGCAGAACCGTATATTAGCTCTTTGCACCATGAAGTGGGTGTTTATATAGTTCATATGTTGTTCAATACATTCCTGCTAAGCTGCTAGTCTTATGATAACAATTTTCTCACATCACTTCTGGGTACAGGCTTATTGTGTTGTTATGTTAGCATGAAAAAAGTGAGATGAGAGGCATAGTATTGGTTTGACTAATGTGGGCTGAAATATTAGCTTGGCCTTTACTTGCTTTCATTCTTCATTGCAGGTGAAATTCCTTGTGAGAATTCACTGTTGAGACAAGTTTCAAGCCTTCTGCGGAGATTACCTGCTATTGAATCTGTGAAATTTCAAGATGATTTTCTGATGGTGAATACTTTTCATTGCTGTCAGCTTATAGGATTTTGAATATACTTTTTAGCGCATAGATATGATTTTTGTATACATCTTTTGGTTATTTACATTTATGCTAAAAGAATGTGTTGAGTTAGAGATCTTACTTTTACAGGAATACAATGACACTGTGCTGGTTACTTATCTTGCCATGTTGACCAACTGCTCAAGGTAATAGACATTCAAATATTAAACCCTTTCTTGATTGTCACCCCCTCCCTATTTCTTTCTTTTTGGGTCAGTCCTGATATTGCTTTTTTATGTGCTTACTTTCCCTCTATGGTTGCCAATTAATTATCACTGTTTAGTCTAGCAATGCTTTTACATTTATCTTTGGCAATTAATGTTTTTACATTGCTAGTTTACTACTAAGGAATTCATACTTGATAAGACCATTGCTAACCATAGTGATGTGTACTCCTTGACATCCCTAGATCTGATACACGAAATTAGGTTATAACTCTCTCTCTCTCTCGCCATGCAGTGAGGTCCCTTCATATTTATGTCTTTTTTGTGGACATATTCATTACATTGTTTTTTGCACCATAGAAAGCCCTGTTGCCATTTGTACTGAGATGTGTAAAATTATACTGTGCTACTGTTTGAAACTTCTAGACATCAAACTGAAACTATGTCATGTTCTTTTTTAACAAAAGTTGGAAGGCCTATTGTATTCATGGTTATTCTTTTTGAGGGATACTGATAAGGGTCTGTAATTCTGAATGCAAATTGATGATGTTTATTTTAATGACAGTAAGTAGGATTGAACTGGTTGTAGATTCTTGTTCTGTTTCATGTCTACATTTGTGCTTACCGTTCTCAATTTATTATGCTTTTTAGGCTCTAGGCTGACTTTTGTTTCTTCATTGCAGTTCGATGAATGAGCTTGTCGACAAAATCAATACTGCATATGACAGGCATGGTAGAAGGGGAGGACGAAGTGCTTTTATATGAGCGCAGCAGCGTCACAGGCATCTTTTTTACTTGGAGCCGAGTTTTTGATTCTGAAGAAGTCTAATTCATTCTGAAGCTGATTTGGGATCAGGATTTTTGGTGTCTATGATTGAAATATGCGGCAATCAAAACTAGATTGTTAGAGAAGTTAGTTATGCTCTTTGTTACAGGATACTTCGACGGTGCATTTCCTAGTAATTTTTAGGTCTCCATTTCAGCAAGGTGGTTTCCTAAGTGCATTGTGTCTATGATTATTTTTACTGTGGTGGGCCAATTCATGAGTTATTTTGTGAATATTGTGATGGAAACGGGTTAAGGCAGTTAAGCAAAATTTCAGCGAGTTCTAGTGAAATTGGTTTGGCATCTCAAATTATTCCCTTTCATTCATTGTTTTGTTATGTGTGCCTATTTGTAGTTGGAATTTTTATTTTCTATGGTAAGGAAAGGCCTATCCTATGAGGGAATACCTAAAATCCCCCTGAATGAGTTTGTTGAAATTCGACCCATGACCTCACACTTAAAAGTTGGAAAACTAGCCAACTATTTCATTTGCAGTTATTTGAGTTGGCTTGAAATTGTATTGGACTGTACCAAGGGCCAAAAATTCGAAAATTCAAGACTTGGAGACTAAGCTTCTTATGTTAGGTTTGGAATTAGACTAAGCCACTAAAAAATTATAACCGTGTAGTCGATTGCCTAGCTATGGGTTTAACTTTCTTTAAACGGTGGTGATGAGGCTATTTTGTGGGAGGATTAACCATATAATCATACAAGTACTTGTTAGAATTGTCTTAATGCATAGTTTCTAACTATCAACTTTTTATGATTTATACTTAATGATAATTGAGGATTTGAGGATATCATTATTCAAAGTTTTGCATTTGAAAGTGTGTCGATTAAATTGGGACACCTAAATAAAAACAGAGGGAATATTTTGTCAAAGAGAAAAGAACATTTCATTACTCGTACTAAATAAAATGTAGTAATTTTTTTTTTTCTGTTAATATATTTTTGTGTTCTTGAATACTTCTCTTTTTCTTTTAAATGCAACAGTTTAACTTTTACATTATTTTATATACTTTATTTTGACTACTTTTACTTTGATGATATAATTAAGAAGAAAATATAATCATGTGAGATATTATTAAATTTGTCTAGATTTAAATGATATTAATAATCAATGCTTCGTATAAAGAATTTATACCCGTGTCATGCCGTGAACCAAAGGCGTGAAATATTTTATGCGCACTCGGGTGTACAATGCACCCAATTAACCCAAAATTAATTTTTGTTCTTCATTTGAAAATTAAATGATAATCAATCATCAAAATAAAGAACAAAATGCTCATAGTATACCAGGCACCCGGTTATATATATCAATCTCTCTCAAACCCGCAAAGGAAATATAACTTGAAACTTTTGCTTAACCGTTGGCAACAACAGTTTGTTTGTTTTGACACTGGTAATCACTCATCTGTCATCATTGCATTCATCAATTCTCCTTCACTCATCCTACCTTCCCTTAACTCTCACCATGAATCTCCAACTCTCTTCACTTCGATATTCAAGAGTCAACTCCATTAACCCTACTTCGTCTTCCAATTTCCGCCATTATCATTCCTCTAAGCTCGTCACTATCAGGTATTCGTTACTTCTTCTTTACAAAACTTCCAGTAATTTCAATTTCTTCAAATCAATTTTATGTTTATGATCTTAATTTCTTCTAATGCAGTTTATATTTCTAGCATTTGTTTTGATTTTTGATGATTATTTTGCTGGAAAACTAGGTCAAGCTTGCCATTTTCGCCTCAGAAAGCTAAGTATTACAAAGAGCTTGAAGCTGCTGTTAATGTGGTTCATAAAGCTTGTCGCATTTGTGTTGACGTACTTCCTTTTTCTCTCTCCTCTTTTTTTTTTTTCCTGAGAATTTAGCCATTAAATTGCTTGATTGATACTACCTCCGTTTTTAATTAGCTGTTCCATTTGCTTTTTCGCAATCACCAATGCACGTCTTTGACCATTAATATGATTCGTACAACTCCGTACTACGTATCTGTTGACTGAAATTGTATGATTAATTGAATTGCAGGTGCAAAAATCCTTATTCTCTGATGATAAGGGGGTTTTGGAGAAGAATGACAGTACTCCAGTCACCATTGCAGATTTCAGCGTTCAAGCATTAATTAGTTTAGGTACTACTAAATTTTAATAATCTTTCTGATTATTACTATTTATTAACTTGATAATCTTTCTGAATTTTATGACTCGTATTTAATTTGGGGAAAAACAAGTTTTATTTGGTAGGAAGGAACAATTTGAATAGGTTAAAGCAATGTAAACAGTTATTTTCTCTCCAAAAAACGGAAGTAGTAGTTTTATAGGTTAGATTTATGGATATTGTTGGGGACGAAGCAACAGATAAACACAATATTGGGAAGAATAATAAAATACGAAACAACTAAAAACAACACACAAGATTTTTACGTGGAAACCCCTCAACAATAAGGGGAAAAACCACGGTCCCGATCTCCAGGGACGAAAACAACTTCACTAACAATAATTAAGGGAGTACAATGAACACTTCTACAATTACAATATCAGATACAATGTATTTTAGGATAGTCTACACTAAGTTCCCTTAATATTGGTACTTATAATAATCCTTTTAAACCCTCTCACACTAAGTCACTAATATTGTGTTTGCCTCTCGTCTGTTCCTCCCTTACTACTACAAGCTATTGTGCTCTCCTTCACATTGAGATGCACTCACTGCTTCTACTCTCAATTGCTAGCTACTATATCTTGCTAGCTCCACTTCCTCATGGTGTGTGCCGTCTCACACACACTCTTCTTCTTACTAGCGCACTTCTATTTATAATGCTCATCCTCCTTGGCTTCTTCAACACAACTCACCAAGCTTCTCACGTACAACAAGCAACCAAGTCAACACTTGGAAGAGCTTGTTCCCCCAAACTAGACATATTATGTCTAAAGTCGTCCTCACCATTTATTGGCTCAACCAAAGGACTCCAACCGTCCACTTCACCTAACTACATGCATTCATTCTTTATTTTATTTTATTTTTTCTTTTTTATTTCTTTCTTACAACATTAATATTATTACTACAATAATAATATTGCTTACTTAATTGTGATTTGGGGAGAATTACCCCACAAATTCCTCCCTCGACCCAAATCACCATATACATCTACAACATCACAAAATTAGACCCTTTCCACTCGGTCTTGATTTTGTGGCCTTGAACAAATATTGTTATCGGCCTTCCACCTACTTCTGCAAATCGCCTTATGCCGCCGCTATCACTCACGGGACTCGCCTCTTAACCATCCACATTATTAGGAGAACTTTCGACGTAAGACAACAACAACATAGCATGGATCTCTCAACTCGCATCACCGCTAGCTATCATCCGGTACACGCTACCTAACCAACACAATATTAGGTAGACTTTCGATACAAGGCTACAACTCCGTAGCTTAGATCTCACCTCTTGTATCGCCGCTTCCACCACGGAATACGTCACTTGAACATCACAATATCAAGTGAACTTTCGACACAAGGCTACAACTCCGTAGCATAGATCTACCATCATGTACCGCTGATATAGCTATCACCCGCGAGAATCACCATCATCGTATTTTCTCAAATTCTTCCCCTACGTGTTGCTCTTCCCCTTACGACGGATCCTCCAACCTCGGCTTTGATACCAGTTGTTGGGGACGGAGCAACAGATAAACACAAACACAATATCGGAAAGAATAATAAAATACGAAACAACAAAAAACAACACACAAGATTTTTACGTGGAAACCCCTCGACAATAAGGGGAAAAACCACGGTCCCGATCTCTAGGGATGAAAACAACTTCACTAGCAATAATTAAGGGAGTACAATGAACACTTCTACAATTACAATATCGGATACAATGTATTTTAGGATAGTCTACACTAAGTTCCCTTAACATTGTTACTTATAATAATCCTAAAAAACCCTCTCACACTAATATTGTGTTTGCCTATCGTCTGTTCCTCCCTCACTACTACAGCTATTGTGCTCTCCTTCACATTGAGATGCACTCACTGCTTCTACTCTCAATTGCTAGCTACTACATCTTGCTAGCTCCACTTCCCCACGGTGTGTGCCGTCTCACACACACTCTTCTTCTTACTAGCACACTTCTATTTATAATGTTCATCCTCCTTGGCTTCTTCAACACAACTCACCAAGCTTCTCACGTACAACAAGCAACCAAGTCAACACTTGAAAGAGCTTGTTCCCCTAAACTAGACATATTATGTCTAAAGTCATCCTGACCATTTATTGGCTCAACCAACTTGGACTTTTAGTCCATGCATCACCAAAGGACTCCAACCGTCCACTCCACCAAACTACATGCATTCATTCTTTTTTTTTTTTTTTTTTTTTTTTTTTCTTTTTTCTTTTTCATTTCTTTCTTACAACATTAATATTATTACTACAATAATAATATTACTTATTTAATTTTGATTTGGGGAGAATTACCCAACAAATATAAATGGGAACAAAATTGATTTACGTAGTTAAATTGGAGAATTATATTGCCAACAGTGTTGGGAATTCACCATAGGAATGCCCTTTTGAAATACGGAAACCCAGAACATCAATATGTGACGGAGGTGTATTAGAAATCATGTTGTGCTGTTGGCTGATATTATGCTTGTTGACATTGTAGAAATGAGTATCTGGTAGCTCTCTTATGTTAAAAATAAAAACTAACAAGTTAAAGAATCCAGAGTTGAGCCTAAAAAGTTTTAATCATGTAAATCTAACTGGCCAAAGCTATAATCTTGGAGCCTAAACAAAATTTGTTCCATATAATATATTGTTTCATCATCAACCGTTTGTCTTTGTTTTGGACAGAGCTGAAAAATCAGTTTCCGTCGATTCCCTTGGTGGCTGAAGAGGATTCTGCTTTTTTGCGTTCTAATAATCTTGCTGGTGCTGTGGTTAATGTTGTCAAAGATAGCACAAGCATCGCATATGAACAATTAACAGATGAGGAAGTGTTGGGAGCAATTGACAGAGGAGGGAGTGATGCTGTTGCTTTTGAGCCCAAGTCGGCTACATACTGGGTAATCTCTGAGATAACTATTTCTTTGTGACCAAATTGTCATGCCTATGTATTACCCTCATCGTCGAAGCTAAATTACTTCAACATCCATATATAATCTGTTTTTTATTTTATTTTTTTATTTTTTTTTATTAGTATTTTAGTTTCTTAGAGTTCCTTCATTCCTGCCTCCTGGTAATTTGGCCTGAATCCAAGGTTCTTTGGTATTGCCTCTGATTCGTGTTTCAAGTCATAATATCAGCATAGTCTTTT